CAGCCGCCCGCCCAGCGCCTCGTGCAGCGTGTGCATGCGCTGCATGGACACGTCCTGCCAGCGCCGCTCGCGGGCCACGCGCTCCACGCGCAGGAGGCGGCCCGGGGCCAGCGCCACGCGGGGCACGGCGTCCGGGCGCTCGGTGAACACGTAGTACACCACGCGCTGGCCCACCATGAAGTGCTGCTCGGCCGTCTCCAGGAAGCGCGCCAGGTACTTCTCCAGGTACCTGCCGGGCGGGGTGGGGCGGGGCGGGTCAGCCCGAGCGCGGCGCCTTCCTCGGCCCCGGCCGCGCTCGGGCTCGGGCTCCCGGCTCCCTGCAGCCACGGGCTCCGGGGCTCCGCAACCCTCCAGCCGCAGCAGCTTTCAAGGCGGGCGCAGAGGCTTGCAGATCGCTCGCCTTCGCAGCCCTGGGTTCCCTGCCTTGACCGTGGGCTCCCACTGCCCGCCTGGATCAACAGGGTCCCGCGGCAGAGGGGCCGTGCTGGCCCTGGGATGGCCGGCAGCGTTAGCCTTTGCCTCATTAGGGCTCTGAGCCTTCGAAGCTTAAAGCTTACGAAGGCCTGGACCCGTGATGCCGCGGCGACGTGAGGAAGCCCAGCCAGCCGCGCGGAAGGCATTGTGAAGACAGGTGCCGCACCGGTGTTCAGCAGTCGGCCATCCCAGGGGAGGCCCAGACATGGGGGAGCAGCGGGGAGCCCTTGGGGAGTTCCTGCCCACAGAATCTTAAGCTGTAATAACAGCCGTTGTTGTCATCACCGAGGTTGTGACAGTTCCTCATGCAGATGGTCAGGACGGTCCCTGGGTAGGGGCCTGTGCTGGGTGGGCTCCATGGTGCCGGTGTCTAGGGAGGAGGGAAAGGGAAAAGGTGGTCCTGCCTGCTCCCCAGGAGGCTGGGACAAGAGGTGCTGTCTTCGCTTCCCTCTTCGCTTTGGGATCCTGCGGCCGGGGAGAACCCTGTGCCCCATCCCTGCGTCCCATGCACACCCCTTCCACTCCCTGCCTGGACAGCACCGCTCCCCTCCCCAGGCCTTACCTGCCTACAGCAAAGACAGTCAGACCAATGGTGAGGTTCTGCTGCAGAGCCTCCCGCTGGGCCACAGCTGGGTCGAAGGTGCCATCCCAAATAATGGGGGCCCCCCAGGAGGTACAGGTCAGGACTTCAGGCCGGGCCCTGGCCGGGACAGGGATGGAGAGATAGGTCCATTCATCCGCTGGTCTGGTGCATTGTCACCGCCACCTCCCCAGTGCCGTACCCTAGGGCCCCACAAATGGGTCCCACCCAGCCCCCGCCCCTAGAAGTCCCTAGCCTAGATCCAACACAGAGGATTGGGAGATGTGTGACCTGATGGGGCCCCTGGGAGGAGTACCTGGCCCTGCCAGGGTGAGGGATGTGTGGAGGGCAGGGACACGGAAGGCAGGGCTCTCTAGGGCATGTGGGTGTTAGCTCCTTACCAGGGATGCAAGAGACCCGTGAAGTTGTCTCTCAGCAGGGCCATTCTGGCAGAAGGGCAGACACCCATGGGGATGAGGACTTCCAGATGCCTGCGGGGTGGGGGCAGCAGTGAGGGGCCCTCTCTCTTTGCACTTTACAAGGAGGGGGAGCCCACAAGGACAGGTGTGCAGCCAAGATAGCCATCGCCCACCATCCCTCAAGGAGGCACTTAGAAGAGGCCCCGACCCTGCTGGTTCCCACGTTGAGGGCTGGGGGAAGGGAGTTGTACCTGATTACAGGGAGCCCATACAGGTACAGCCCTAAGAGGCCAAGTGCAAATAGGATCAGCAACCAGAAGAGTCTCTTCCAGGTCCTGGGTGGTGGGGAGGGCATTAGCAATTCATTTATACATACACATACACATGAGAAATTGCTTATGTAATTTTAATGTTGCAGGTTATTTATTTTTGGATACAAATATATTCTTTTCACATGGGACAGGTATTCAGAGGTACAAAAGAGTATATGTAGTGCAAAGTCTTGCCTGGTCCCATCCACCCAGTTGCTCTGCATGGAGGGGAGCCAGCACTACTCTTTTCTTGTGCCTCCTTCCAGAGGTGATCTGTGCGTATGCAGGCAAATATAAATATGGTGGCAAATCCTCCCTCCTCCCCTCCCCCGATCGGTGGTAGCACAGTAGATATGCCGCTCTGCATCTTGCATTTTCCACTGCCTCCACTGACCATTATCTTTGCGGTTATCCCCTCTGAATACTTGAAGTGCTTGCCTCCCTTTTCCCCAGCTGCCCAATAGACCATTTATTGGATAGAGCATCATTTACCTGACCAGGCCCCTTTTGATGAATGTTTGGATACATAATCCTTTGCTTTTCCCAGCAGTGCAACGGGACATGACCTTGGGCAGGTTTGGGGGACGATAATATTAGAGGTTGGGGTGCTTAGCCTGGGTAGGGGGCAGGACTGGCCTTGGACAGGAGAAGAGACTGGGAGGGGATGCAAGGAAGTTTGTGGCTTGGTGACCGGGAGTTGAGAACTGTCTGACACCGATGAGTTGAGGGGCTGCATGGGGGGTGGGCTGTGGTCAGGGGCCACGCGTCTACAGTGGCTTCAGCCACTGGGCTGGGTACGTCCAGCAGAGCTCAGAAGCCCCATTCCTGCTCGGAGGAGGTCGGCTTTGGCGTGTGGCCACGGTTGGGAGTCATCCAGGAAGGGCCCCCAAAGTCGAGATCCTCTGGGGGATCTCATCCAGTATCCCCCACCCCTCCTGTATGCCCATGTCTCCTGAAAGGCTGGAACCGCCTGGTGAGGAGCACGGACACTGGGGCCAGACCCCCAGGTTCCAATCCCAGTCCACCATTTGTAAGTTGTCTGGCCTTGGGGCAAGGTTCTGGACTTCTGCACTACAGTCTACTCATCTATAAAATGTGGATGATAAGAATGCTTCCCTCAGAGGGCTGAGGTGGCTAGTGAGTTGATACACGCTAAGCAGTTAGGTCAAGGCCTTGCACACAGTTCTAGCTCAGTTGCAATTGTCATTATTCCTGAACAGACCCTCATGATCCCCGGACAACCTCCCAACTCCACTCTCTGCCCTACAAATCCTTCCAAAGTCTGGCTCCCCTCCTCTCTCAAGCCTGCCGGATCAGACGCTCCTGCCTCCCTGCCTTCTCAGCTACCCGACTTGGCTGTTCCTCATCAGATGTAGCTAGTAGATAGGAGAGGGGTCTTGTGGTGTCTGTGTGCCTGTGTCTACCTGTGCACCTTCTCAGCACATGGTACCTCCTTCTGTTCAGTTGGCCAAGCCAGAAACCTGACTACACCCCAACCCCTTCCTCTGTCTCACCCCCGCCCCCGTCATCTGCTGTCAGTCCCCAGGGTGGGTTGACTTCGCCTCCTGGATGTCCTCCCCCCCACCCCCGGGCCCCTGTGGTACTCCTGGCCCCACAGTGATCCTGCCTGCACATCCCCCACCAGGACCATTGAAGCATCAACTTCCAGCCCCTTCCTACACAACCCCCAAAGTCATCCTATAAAATGCCCACCTGCTTTCACAGTGTCCACATCACGTGACCAAACATCCAAGAAGAAATACATTTAGAAGGCAAATCTATGGGGAAATGTTCACCCTCACTAGTAACCAAAGACATACAAATTAGAACAGGGTGGCATGTTTTACTTATAAAATGAGCTTTAAAAAAAAAAACAAAACAAAACAACAAAAACTAGCCATGCTTCAAGTATACAGTGAGACAGGCACTCTTACAGTTGCTGGTGGGAGTGAAGATTGCTAGATCTTTTTGGAAAGCTACTTAGCTTTCCAGCTTTCACTGTTCCTACCCTTTAATCCAATCACCCCAACTTCTGAGAGTCTGCTCAGAGATCATCTTCAGGATGCAAAAAGTTTATCCATCAAGATGTTCACTAGTTTCTGCTTATGCATGCCTTCACCCTATATTGATTGGGCATAAGCTCAGAATCATGCACTTGCTAGGTCAAGGATTCAGAGGTGAGCGAGGCACAGACCTTATCTTCATGGAAGGGAATCAGGAAGATGTGGATGGCCAGGAAGAGAGGAAATGGGTCAGATGACAGACCTCAAACAGATGAATGGAACACAGCACAGTAAAGGCTGTAATCAGTATAAATACAAGATGCTATGAGGGCAAATTGGAGGGTGGCAACTGAACCTTGACAGATGGGGAGGAAGTTGGGGAGGCTTCCTGGAGGGGGTGGCTTCTAATGATTAGAAGTTATCCGGGCAAAGAAGGCAGCAGCGGGGAAGGGAGGTCTATGAGAAGAAAACAACAACGTACAGAAGTGAGAGGGGAGAGAAAATGTGGGGTGCGCATGGCACTACGGGTCACTCTGCAGGGTGGAGTGCAGGTGGGGAGCGGGGACAGGTGAGGCCGAAGGTAAGCCAGGGCCAGATCACCCTGCATTCCAGGCTAAGGGGTTGGGCTTCATCTGGAGGACCATAGGGAGCCCTGAAAGATACTTCCTCCAGGGACTGATGCAGACTTTTATTTGAAAAAAAAAAAAATA